TAACTTCATTAAAAAGTGCTGAGGTGATAAACTATCTAAATTATTGTTGGGGCAAAGGAATGATTTGGTCCCTTGTTTTTTGGATACTCAACGAAAACTTGGTTTGACTCCATTTTCTTTTAAATATTCGTGCAGTGGCTGAAAACGCGATTTTTGATAGGTAACATGAAAAGTGGCCAGGGATATTCCTTCATAAGTTTTAGTGTTTGATGTATTCGAAATGCAATGTCTTTCTCTTTTAGATTGCCTAGATCTCAAATGTTCAAAAGCAATGAGAAAGTAAAACCAAGTCGTGCTGAACTTACCAAGAAAATCGAGGAGCAGCAGCGCCAGATTGCGGAATATGAAAAGAAATTGAAAGGTCTGTGGCAAAAGTAAATTCTAAGATACTGCTTGCTATTGCGGGGTAAAGATCCGTTGTGATGATCACTTCGACCATCTCCTCTTTGTGCGTTCTGTTCTGTGGGGATCCTTAGCGCAGCACATTCAAAATGGTGGAACCTTTAAAACGTGAGGGTGACACATTGGATGGAAATATGACTTCAAAATTTCAGCCTCCCAGCTTTCCTGATTGCTGAGTTGAAAGTGGTTGACAAAGTTCACTCGCTTTCGAACAGACACACACACACACACGGACACACACGCACGCACGCAGACAACCTCTCGACAATATGCATTTTTTCTTACTGTAGCAACTTTATAGCGCTGCACAGTAAAAACGCATAAAAAAACGACGATAAAGCAACAGATAATCAGCAAAACAACATGTAATCTCATACTGAGCGTTACACAGCAGTGAAACAAACTGCACTGCTGGTTCTTATAGGTCCATCCTAAATTTGAAAACAAAGGGGTTATTTTTTTTTGAAGGAGTATATTTATGTTCCATTTTATCAGTCAGCCATTTCAGATGTTGTTCGAGCCTACAAAGGACTCAACGCTGAGAAGAACGCTTTACAGGCAACTGTGGAGGCACTGGGTCTTCAGAGTGGTTAGTGTTAAAGTTAAAATGTTCCACTACTAAGCAGAAGAAAGCATACTGTGATAGCTGAAATAAGTAGCAGCGCGCACCATCCTAGCCGGTGCGATCATGCGTTTTGTGCAATTCAGCCCATCGAACGATTGCCTATCAATGATTTTCACTGCTTTGTACTACAGTCTATACAAAAATAGTTCAGACATTGGGAAACAGTTAAAAATTTCACGCACTAGCGCATGAAAGCTGAATTCAAAACCTTGAAGGGTAAATGTCTTTATCCCGAGTTAATAGTTTATACTCTAAAATTTTCACGAGTCCGCAGGTGATACTCAAGAGTGCGGGAACGCTGAATTTGAATAGACAAGGTTGAGCATGGACAAGGGGTCATTATCCTAAAATTCGGCTCCCTAGACCGCATGGTTCCCGAGATGATAATATACCGGTTTTTAAATTACCCGCGGGTACGGGGAAGCTGAATTTAAATTCGCGGGGTCACACGTGGGTAGGGAACGTTCCCCCAAATTTTCAGCTTCCTAGCTTTTGTGGTTCCCGAGTTGAAAGTTGCAGACAAGTTGCGGACACACACAGACAACCCCGTGACAATATGTCTTTTGTACTGCTGCTGTGGCACAGTACAAAACGCATAAAAATAATGAACGACGATAGTTCGGCAATATAGCTGCATGAGGATTGGGACCAGTTAATTCTTTCGCGGCAGTTGGATAGCCAAGAAAACAGAAATATCGCAAGAATGCTGGCGTTTGCATCACAGATCAATTTTTACAAACGTCTGCGTCTTGCGTGCGGCTGTGGCAAATTTGAGAGTACATTTTGCCCCGAAAACATGTACTTGCGAAATTCGCGGCAATCATACATGTTGGAGGTTGTGTTTCATGTAGGCACGCGATGCAGCACCAGCGTCCCAGCCGATGCCCTCTTCCCCTACATTAACAAGAATGCACATTCTAAACTATAGGGCAACAACGGACGAACTGATTGCTTTAAGATTCGTGCAGAAACACATAATCGCGTGGCAGGTTTAGTTGGCGTTGCTGCCTTGGTACATTTGTACTGCTTGCATTAGTTGATCTGACACTTCGTTTTTTTTTTTTCTTTTTTTTTTTTTTTTTT